TATATATATATATATATATATATATATATATATATTTCTAATGATTCCCTTTATTTATTTATCAGCACAAATGCAACACACACAAACACACATATACATACATGCACGTACATATGTTAGTACACACGCATCACGCACGCACACACACACACAAGTAGTCTTTGGCTTACAACTACAAGCCCCAAATTTCTGTTGCCAAATGAGACAAGAGCCACTTCATAGTGGTTACAATGCAGTGCTGCAGGCTACTTCAGCAGTCTGACAGTTCAAGTCTCACTGACTCAAGGTTGACTCAGCCTTCCATCCTTCTGAGGTTGGTAAAATGAGGGCCCAGATTGTTGGGGGTAAACCGCTTACAGAGGGCTGTAAAAGCACTGTGAAGCGGTATATAAGTCTAAGTGCCATTGCTATTTGTTAAGTGAGGGTGGTTTTTTTTTGCCATAGTTGTTAAATGGATCACTGCAGTTGTTAAGTTAGTAACATAGTTGTTAAGTCAATTTGACTTCTCCATTGGTTTTGTTTGTCAGAAAGTCACAAAAGGTGATCACATGACTTCAGCACACGGCAACGGTCATGAATATGAATCCATTGCCAAGTGCCTGAATTTTGCTCATGTGGTCATGGGGATGTTACAAGGGTCGTAAGGGTGAAAAATGGTCATAAGTCATTTTTTGTTGTAACTTTGAATGGTTACTAAACAAATTGTAAGTCGAGAACTACCTGTATCTATTTAAATATGAGTGGGCATGCTGTAATATTTATCCACGCCTTGCCTTACTCAATGAATTCTGGCCATATGGAAGGCAAGGCTCTCCCTTAGGGTACCGTTGCTGTTTCTGGATTGTAGCTGTTGGATCTTTGATTCCTGCTATTTTTGTCCACACCGACATAAAAACATCCCATTTAAACTTTTTAACAAGTCCCTCAAAGCATATTAATCATTTTGACGCAATCTATTCGAGAGACAAGAGCAGAAAACTTTCTTGAATTGGACAGTGTATCTGTATAAGAATCAATGCTACCGGTGCATTGATAGAAAAATTGATCCTTTCGGTTTCTTAGTCTCCTTCAACCTGAAAGTGGCTTTAACTGGAAAGATGGTTCCCATCAAAATTCCTTTTCTACACTAATGACTCCCTTTCCCTACTGCCAAATATCATAACGATTTTGAGGCACCCCACTTAGGAAGCCTAGGGCAGTGGTCCCCAACCCCCAGTCCTTCAACTGGCACCAGTCTGCGGCATGCTGGCAACCAGACCACGAAAACAAGTGAAGTCCCATCCACAGGGTGCAGGTAGCATGCAAAATCCCTCCACCTCCGACTGGTCCCCGATCCCCAAAAGGTTGGGGGCCACTGGCCTAGGGAAAATAATGTACAGTAGTGGCCAAAATTGTGGAAACCTTTTGGGAAAAGTATATTTTTGAGGTTTGATGGCTAATAACACCACTTTTTTTGGAGTAGTACCATAAAATTATATATCAATGGAAAGATAATTTAATCAAGAATTTAATGCAATAACTTTTATGAAGGATTTGCTATTAGAATAGGAGTTATAAAGAAGAAAAGTGAAACACAGAAAAAAACAAGATATACAAAAATTATATCAATCTGACAAATGTTCTCCTCTCAGCTTCAGTACATGACATCAATAACTGAATCCTACTATGATCTGATTGGCTCATTGCCAAAACAAGATGACACCTGATTGGCTCTCTAAATACTCATGCTTATTGGCTATAATCAGATGAAGGAAAGCTACCTGATATCAACCTAAGCAAGTTGTGTTTCCTTTTTCTGGTTACTTGTCTATAACTTTACATAGAACAAATAATGAGAGACTATTGATAAACAGATAATTGAACAAACATTACATTCTTGATTAAATTATCTTTCCATTGATATATAATGTTATGGTACTACTCCCCAAAAACTTGGTGTTATTAGCCATCAAACCTCAATAATACTGTACACTTTTTCCTAAAGATTTCCACAATTTTGGCCACTGCTATATATGACACTACATCATCTTTGCACATTCCTCTGTGGTCATCACATCACAGCATAAAAACTCTAACCATTAAGACATTTGCTGCAGTACCATCATCTACAGTATGTTTTCTCAAAGAGCACAGCATTTTTTTTTCATTTCAAAGAGATTGACTTTTACCCATTTCATATATCCAAATGGAGTGTTAGCTACCTTATTTTTCAGAGTA